AAAATGATAAAGTACAAACACACATACACACATACTTCATTATTACTCGAGCACAAAAAAATATTTGCAGATTATATACCATAACCTTAGCATGGTCGCAAGAAGATATCATGTCATTTAATCAATTTTTAGGTTAACCGTTCTAAAACTGGTAGGTACTTGGTATCTCCGAGATCAAATAATCACAGTGAGAGTTTGAGTTGACAATCAGTTATGTGCTCACTCCCATGAAGAAGTAATTATATTGTGAAGAAGACGGTACATGAATGTGGATGATTATAGAAAACGCTACCGGAGTCAAGCGGGATATAAACACAAATATTAAAATGTCATCTGAAAGGAGAATATAGTCGCACAATTATTGAACAGAACAATTTTCTAAATCTTTCTCCGTAATAATTCTAGTTTAATAATAGCGGAAACTGCAGTGCGGAAAAAGAAAAGCGCTCCTGTAGATATCTACCGGGTGGTCAGTTTAGGAGAACTGACATCCCTGCAGGTGCCTGCAGCTTTAGAAATGATAAAGAACTTACCACCCTTGTGAAATCTTTAGGTTTTGATCGAACTTGATGAACTTTTCTTTCTTTGGTAGATATTTAAAATGCATATTATTCGTGACAACCTACTATAATTTTTATTGGCTCAAATTCGAAGAAGTAGATACTATAAGGGATTCTGGCAAAACGAAGCATGCACATATTTTTCGAATGATTGAAAAAGTGTAACTAGTTTTTTTTTCAACTACTAATCATCGATGAGGACCACTAAAGATATATGTGCATATTATTTTCATCATTAAAAAATACATATAGTTGAATGAATTATAAATCATTTTAACACCCACACCCATTATTTTATAATGATGAAAATCGTTTCAGTTATATTTTGGGTGATCCTTAATAATAATCTGTGTGAAAAAAATCGTTATGAACATTTTACAGGGGTTTAAAACGACAGAAGAAATCTGAGCAGAGTTTCTTAAATTGAAAGAAATTCATGCCAAATTTGTATATTTTCCATATTTCGAAACTGAAGTAATGACGTCATCAAGCTATTATTTCCAAGAAGCGTACCTGTATTTTGGCGTATTTGAAAATAGCTAATTCTCTGATCAAACATTTGTTGTCGAGGGGGTGGTATACATTCATTATTCCAGATTTTTTGTGATTTTTTCTCCTCGTTTCTATAAAATGAAAATATGAATATTATTTCAATACACGTGTAGTAAGGACAAATCAGATGATTTGCCCCATAATGTCACTGCGTTTAGGGAAATTTTCCTATCAGAGACCCTAAAAAAAATTCACTAGCTTATCGGTGACAATTTGTATTGAAAAAGGTTTGAAGAAGAGAAATAGAAGTATATAGAAAAAATATCAAATTTTCACTTAGCTTTGGACGTTTCGGGAACGAATCTGCTCCCGTTTTCAACATAAAAAATGGATATTTGTATAGCAAATTCGTATTCTTCTTGACAATTCTCAGTTCTCAGTGACAATTGGTGACTTTGGCAATCAAATGAGTTACAGGATGTCTTTATTAATTGTTCTCGAATTTACCATCCTTCTGAACGGAGACAATAGCATTGCTTCCTGTTCAGTTGATATAGATAGAATATGGTATTCACTACTGAAATCTGAAAATGGTAAATTCAAGATCAATTAATAAATATCCATTCTTCATGTTGAGAACGGGAGCAGATTCGTTTCCGAAACGTCCAAAGCTAAGTGAACATTTGATGTTTGTTTTCTATATACCTTCATTGCTCTTCTCCAAACCTTTCTCAATCCAAACAAACAAACAAAATTTTAGAACAAATTTGTCCTTACTACACGTATATTGAAATAATATTCATATTTTCATTTTTTAGAAACGAGGAAAGAAAATATCAAAAAATCTGTGGGATTTCACCAGAAAAAAAGGAAAATTCTCAAATTCTTTCTCGTTCGATCCTTCCTTCTCTCTTTTTTTTATCATTCGAATCTATATTGTTCAACGAGTTTCTTTCCCAATTTTCGATCTTTTTCATTTCAGGTATTTGAAGAAACTATTATTTCGTTTATATTTTTTTGCAACATCTAATTTGCCTGTACTACACATATTGAAATAATACTCATATTTTAATTTATAGAAACGAGGAAAGAGAATCCCAAAAAAACAGTATTCACTATATCAATCGCCTACGGAGAACAAATTCCGTACAGTAGAAAATTATAAATTCGGGAAACTGCCAAACGTATTCTTTTGTTTCAGACGCGATAACCCTTTTTCATGCGAACATATATCGGCAAATTTTAACCGCTTCCGTGGTTTCCCCCAAAACAAAACATCTTTATTGTCCGAAAAACGAGCAATTCGTACGCAAAAGTGCACCCGAGAAACAAACGTTTTTATGCGTCCAAATCCGATTATGGCAGAGCCTACTGCACATTTTACAGCCATTCAACTTGTCATTCACAACGTATCGTGTATCGTCAATTATATTTTTTTCATTAAACAGGAGCCAGGAGCGCAAAAAAATTATTCATCCTTATAGCAACTGCATTTGAGTCCATATGGGCAAAATGACATGTCAATCATGTCATTATTGATTATGCGATCATAGATGAATAGAAAGTCAAATGGTGTTATCACTTCCTATCTCTCGATATCGCCTACTTTGTAAAAATAGCGAGATATGGGAGAATCTTGCTAAATTTCCGAAGTTTCAAACCAAATTTACAGGCATCATGACACATTAATTTGAGTTCACATTATCATTTTCACAATTTTTTGTTCAAATGGAAACGGTGCTTTATATTTTCGGCATTCAATGCTGAATTCATGAACGACACGAAGTCCTAACCCAAGAAAATCCTGAGATAATAGTTTATTGACACACTTTTGGTACCCACATAAAATAAAACGAATGTTCGGATTTTCAAATAATCCTCACACTGTGCAGCAGTCATCAGTCCATGATGAAAGCTCAACTAATAATATAATATCAATACCTGCTCAATAAACTACTAATGCTTTCAATTTATAATAATTCTATTTGAAATTTGAACAAAATCATAAATATGCCGAAAATATAACACTCGTGACAAATATGTCAAGATCATGATGTTTCCGCACGGATTATTTGTTGCTCCCTGTCTCCAGATCCTTCTTATCAGCTATTATTGAATTCGTGCATCATCAACGGGACTCTTCAGGTCCCGATAGAAGGAAAACACATCCTTGAATGTCTAGTTGGACTTCATAATAAGATTCGAAACGCATTTTGATATTTTTCAAGTAATTGTCCATCGTTCACGCCATCTATCATCGAATATGAGAACCCCACGTTTGGAACTCGCATTCAATTGTCCATATCGAGAGCTAGTCTGACGAAACATTTGAAGAGTGGGCACACCAGAGAAATTATAAACATCTCAACTCAATGCGATCCATCCTCTACTTCGATTTTGTTAATATCTTTCAACGTCAACAGCATGCTTTAAACCGAGTGTCCTAGTAGACACCTGTTACATTGTGAACTATCTCATTCATTTCAGAATATATATACCAATCTGAAATGTTTTCGAATTGATAGAAACACGAAAACTTGTTGTTTATTAGAACTGGAAAAATATCAATTGAATGTCAGTTCATCCAGATGTCACTAATACTTTCTGATTTCAAATAGCACCCCGTGTATATTCTTTATACCATGGGCGTCATTAAGAGGGGGCGGGGCAGGGAAATTGCCGCCCTGCATCATTTTCTACGAACCTAACCTAACCTAACCTAAAGAAGCAAATGACAAATTTTCCTATAATATAGAAATTGGCGCCTTCATCAATATGACAATGTCAACGCTTAAAAAATTATTTACAAGACTGATGAGTTATTTGCCGCTATAAGTGATAGTTGTTGATCCGGATGACATAAAAAAAAGTGAGTGAATTAGGGAATCTCGAAATTACTTCCCTTAATTGAAACGAGCCAGTATCCCTAGCTTGATAAAAGTCATTATCACCACTCAACTAGTGGTTGACATGATCTTCAACCGCACTGAGATATTTGCATTTAAAGAAGCTATAAGAGAAAATCCCAAAAATCTGGAGAATATCTCCATCTGCTTGGTTAACCTACAGACAGTATTTGAAATACTTTTGAATTGCTCTTCATATTGTTATCAGATCATTTTATATCAATTACAACAAACTGAGAACGTGAAACTGGATAATTTATAATATAAAAATGTAATGGTTATTGTTACTCTGAATGAAATCTGTTAGCATCTAGCAACTAGATGCGCTACTGCTCAGTGGAATGTGCTTAGATCAGAGCCTATGACAGACGTGTGTGAAGACCGCCTCATACAGTGTTCGGCAGGCAGGCGAGTTAAGAGCAAGTGTAAAACCCTTGTCCATGTCATTTTTTGAAATCTTCTAAAATCTATTCTGCGCAAATGAAGGATTCTTCAGTTAATATCAAATCGTGAAAATATAATTTTTTATCTACCTATATGAATAATATATTCCATTAGAACAGGTATACCGCGGAAGACAATATATATAACTATATATATTATTAATTATACGAGCCGATAGTGAGATATAACTGTTTTCTACAGGATGTTTCGAAAAACGCTGCCACTAAATCAGACATCTATGCGTTTGTGGATCAATGATGTTTATTGATACTTTTTCTATCAGTTTTCACAAATACTATTAAATTTTTCGAATGTTTTTCGAAACATTTTGTACATAGTGTTCGCACTATTCGCTATAAAGTTTGTTGAAATCGAAAAGAAATTGAAGTGAAAATCAACTATTCAAATTTGCCGCCATCTATTGGTCACGTGACATAAATGTCAAAATCAAATCAGAGGAGTAAAACAACTTTTCGATATTCAAACAAACTTAATAGCGAACGCTGCATTTTATTATGTTTTTTGTTTACCAGCCGCAAAAAGTTCCAGTAACTAAGTCTTTTTTACGTTACCATTACAGACAATTTTTCGTCAACAGGCAAATCAGAAGCCGGTATGCCACCGTTCGGCAGGCCAGAAAACGATCTGAGTAATGATCGATTAGTTCACATCTTGAACGACGGAAACCCCTTTCAGCACATGAAACCTCACCAACAACCTGAAGACAGCCACAGCAATGAAGACTCGAAATCTCCTCACGGGTGTACGAGCCCGTTTTCGAGAGACTCTTCATTGAACAAGAGACTGAAAAAATACGAAAACGACGACATCTCTCAAGAAAAAGTCGTCAGGATCTATCAGGAAGAGCTAGCCAAACTCATGGGTAGAAGGATGGAGGACATGAGGAATCAGCGGGAAGGCAATTTTCCTGGGTAAGTGTCAAAACATCCACCTAACAACCTCTTGAAAAATACCAATATTTTCCTATTAACCTCGTACTAGGACAGTGCTAAACTAATATGCAGTATTTTCCTTCCCCAACTATTTAGCGGTAACGTCATGGAGAGGACCCAGGATGACATCCGCATAGCCTTGGACGCATATCACCGCGAACTGGCCAAACTGAACCAAGGTCAAGCTCCCAACCAAATGCCAATCAGCCTGCTAGCCATCCAACAACAAGCTTTAGCCCACCACCACCAGCAGCAACAGCAGCAGCAGCAGCAACAACATCACCAGCACCAGCAGCATCCAAACCACAACACCAACGGCGGTGTCCAAGACCTCTCTATTCCCAAAGACAAAATGAAGATGATGAACGGTTGCGCGGACGACAAAGACAAAGACGATGATACGATGTCGCGTCACTCCGGCTCCGCGTTCAGCTTGGTGAGGCCCAAGATAGAACCAGGTACCCAACCCAACACCGGATCTACCGCCTCGAGTCCTCTGGGCAACTCCATTCTACCTCCGATGACCCCTACGGAGGATTTCTCCGCCTCAGCAGCCGCCTCGCCACTACAGAGAATGGCCAGCATCACCAACTCACTGATATCACAACCCACCTCACAACCCCATCACACCTCCAACAACCGACCCCTCAAAGCAGTATTACCTCCCATCACCCAGCAACAGTTCGATCTCTATAATAACCTCAATACGGAAGACATCGTCAAGAGAGTCAAGGAGCAGCTCAGCCAGTATTCCATAAGCCAAAGACTTTTCGGAGAAAGCGTCCTGGGGTTGTCCCAAGGGTCAGTGAGCGACCTGCTGGCCAGGCCCAAGCCCTGGCATATGTTGACGCAAAAAGGCAGGGAACCCTTTATCCGGATGAAAATGTTCCTGGAAGACGACAATGCCGTCCACAAGCTGGTAGCTAGCCAATACAAGATCGCGCCCGAGAAGCTCATGAGAACAGGCGGATACGGAGGAGGTTAGTATTCCACTCTTTTGGGAAAATATACTCGAATTTCAAGAAGATTATTTTGTTGCAGCTTGCACTTCCATCGGCAAACCGATGCCGCCCACTCAAAAGATGTTGTCCGAAGCCGCTGGTTTGCTGAACAAGATGCAAGAATCTCAGCAGAACATCCTGCCTCCCTCTCTTCAGCTAGGGCCCCCTCATCCTCAGCCTCCTCCACCTCCGATGCTTTTGACGCCTCCCGGCATGCCTCCACACCACGCCATGAACCTCCAGAACCACGATCTCATGAAGAAGGCCAATCACAGTCCTCATACGCCTCACAGCATTCCACATTCTCCCATGGGGGGACAACATGCGTCTCTTAGAAACAGCTTGCACCAACATATCTCGCCCAGCGTTTACGAAATGGCGGCTCTCACCCAGGATCTGGACACCCAGGTCATCACTACCAAGATCAAGGAGGCGCTGTTGGCCAATAATATTGGACAGAAGGTGAGAACAGTCATCTGATCTAGGTAACCGTTTCTGTATTTTGATAGCAGTCACGTATACAGGGTGCCCCGAAATTATATCGAAAGATTTCAACAACAGATTGTATGAACAAAAATAGTGAAAAAAGTTCATGTAAACATGGGTCCAGAAATTGCCCCCTGGTAGGTTATAGCAATCTAAAAGAGAGCCTGAGATGATGATTATGTGATTGATTTTGAAACCCTCTATGATAAAATAACCAAATTTTGTAGATGTACCTAACTTTTTATGCCCGATTTGAAAATGTTGAGGATTTTCCGAAATTTCGTTCAGGGGCGTGGGGAATAGGTGGGGCTGGGGACACTTCCTCTTCCAACTTTTTTGTTTATAAAATTTTCGATAGTTTGACCAAGTAATATTGAAAGCTCAACATTTTTACTTGAAAATGGTAAGTACTCTTGTTCAGTTTCGATAGCATTCACCATTTTCGAGATAAATCGATTTTGAAATTCTGCTGGGTATCTACTTTTAATGTTTGATTTGAAATATGGGGGGTGCAATAACGAAAATTTGGAAAAAAAATGAAAAATGGCTTTATTCAAACATTTCATCAATAAATACCAATAAAACTGAACATATAATTTTCCATCAAAAATAAAGTACTGAAAAGAACTAAACATATAAATATCTTGGTGAATGAATTGATGAAAAATTGAAATGGGACGAGCATATAGTGGTTCTACACAAAAAATAACAATAATCATTAGTGCTTTGAGAAGGTGTCCTAAACTCAATCAAAAAATCATGAACATAGTGCTTCATTCTCATATACTCAGTCGCATTACCTATATGATAAACGTTTGGGGATATTGTTCAAAAAATTATTTCAGTAAAATATCTGCTCTTTATAAGAAACGTCTGAAAGTATTGTATCGCCTCTCATTTGATATCCCAACAATTGAACTGTATGCGATAACAAAAAAAATTCATTGGATGAATTATATAAGATAGATGCTCCAAAAGTTTCATGTGATATCATAAACAAAAATTTGAAATCCAATTTTGTTTTGATAAAAAACTTTCAAAATTGAAAATAGTATATTACACACCGGGGTGGGAAGTGATTCTTTCCTGTCGTGAGATCAGTTAGTTAACCGAGACGCAAAGCGTCGACGTTAGCTATAATCTTGAGACAGGAATGAAACTCCCTACCGAGATTTGTGTACCATTTTATTTACAACCATCATATTTCGATCAAAATTAATAAATCTATGTTTCGTTTTGAACATACCTGTATTATTACATGACGGCGGGGAGGGGCGGGAAGTGAGGGCGGGAAGTAGAGGTGTGTAATGTGACACTTCCCAACCTTCAATGACGTTAGTAATGACAACATTACATATATGGTTGTAAATAAACATTTTGTTGCACTTGGACACCCTGTATCTCGGAAATGAAGCATTTTCGGACCCATGTTCTTATGAACTTTTCTTAATATATTGTTAAGAGGAATCTTTCCTAGGCTTTTGTCACCACAACTCTGAAACATCATGTATATCGTTTCCTTTCCTTACAGATATTTGGCGAGGCAGTGTTAGGCCTCTCCCAAGGCTCCGTCAGCGAGCTCCTCTCGAAACCCAAACCGTGGCACATGCTCAGCATCAAAGGGCGAGAGCCCTTCATCAGAATGCAACTCTGGCTGAACGACACCCACAACATCGACAGACTCCAAGCCCTCAAGAACGAACGACGAGAGGCGAACAAACGGAGACGATCCTCGGGCCCAGGCGGCCACGACAACAGCAGCGACACCTCCTCCAACGACACCTCCGAGTTCTACCACTCCAACTCCCCCGGGCCTCCGTCGGCCAAGAAGCAGCGCGTGCTGTTCAGCGAAGAGCAGAAGGAAGCCCTTCGGCTGGCCTTCGCCCTGGACCCCTACCCGAACGTGGCGACCATCGAGTTCCTCGCCAGCGAGCTGGGGCTATCTTCGAGGACCATCACCAACTGGTTCCACAACCACCGGATGCGGCTGAAGCAGCAAGTGCCGCACGCCCTTTCCTCCGATCTCCCGCCCAGAGAGAACGCCGGGGGGCAACAGCCCTTCGACCCGGTGCAGTTCAGGCTGTTGCTGAACCAGCGGCTGCTGGAGCTGTCCAAGGAGAGGATGGGTTTGGGTGGTGTGCCCTTGCCTTACCCGCCGTACCTCACGACCAATACGAACCTGGCCGCCCTGATTAGCCGCGGGCTGCTGCCCACAGGCGACATGGACTTGTCTGCCCTCAATAATGCGGTTAAGGAGCAGATGAGCGGGTTGGATTTGTCGCTGAAACGAGAGCCGGGCGACTATGACGACGACGATGACGTGGAGAGCAACGTGGGGTCGGAGGACTCGAACATCTCCGCGGGCAGCTTGAAGGTACAGTGGCTTTATTTTCTATTGTTGCGACCTCAGATTAAATAGCGATATGAATATATGAAATCGCGAATAGTGGGGATAACTCTGCAGAATCATTGCCAGAGAATTGATATTTTTTAGATATATTTGAATATCTAGTAAATCGGGAATTCTATTTTTTTTTTCATCAATAAATCAACTCCGTACTGTAACATAAGAATTAATCATTCTGTAACGTCTGTGTGAGGTTTGGATTGATTGATTGTTTTTATTACCCACACCCCAAGAAACATATATTTTTATAACAGGGATACATGAACACATAATAATAATGATAATAATATTAAAAGGTTAACTAATGAATTCCACTGGGTTGAAACAAATTCATACTTTTTTCAAGGTGAATTCTGAGTAATCAAATCATGCCAAATAATTTCAATCAGACATTTTCAATATTTCAAAACACGCTTATCATCAACAAAAGTAAGCCACAAAATCAAGACAACCAGTGGACAAAATTGTTATTTACCTGTGAAATATTAGGCTAGGATATTTGTAACTAGCGTTTCTTTACAGATTTGACACTGCCGAATCATATTTATTTACAAAATAGTCTGCTTTAGATTTATAATATCAAATTTTACCTAGTGAATCACCAAAAACTAATCACACAACAGCTGGAAAACCATTAATAACAAGAACGACAAATGACATTTCTTACAATGATTATTGCTCTACTACTAAATTTTGCAGTGCCGCCACGTCCATCTATAAATAATTCATATTTTTATTCTGTTATGTGCCTTAAAATAACTATTGAGTTTATAATTATTAGTACTGCATTCCTGGCAATTATGTTGTTATGGGAGTATATTTATGATTTGAAAGTTTTTCCACTCAAGTTGAATAAGAAGTTTTGTCCGAGAAATATTCCCGAATTATCGATTTGGCAGTGGTTCCACAGAAGTCCTTAGAATGTGATGTCTTTTCTGCAGAAGGAATAAGCAAAATAAATCACTCTTTTCAACTAGTTACTCTGAGATGCCGACAATACTGAGTCACTTTTCGATTGGTTGACCTGAATGATGGCGGTGCATCCACCTAACTTACATTCTCTGCGATTTTTTATTGTTGTTGAGTAATTTCCTGGAATTTTTTTGGACATCGAAAATGGTTATTAAGATTTGATGATTTGAAGGCTGGATTGGTAAAAATAATATGAATGGGTTGATGGAATTGAACTAGATGTAATAACTAAGAGATCTTGGATGAACAAAGTTGTCCCAATTGTCAGCAAGAGCGATAAAGTACTCTGTTTCGGCACACCAGGCCTTATCAGCCGCTTTCGGTCTGCTGAAAAATGGGATGCTTCGGGTATATCACTGATTTTGAAGGATAATGAATTAATATATAGGTATATAGGTACTTTTCCACTATGCAGTCTTATGAAAGATCATAATTATATATTAATTAATTATTTTTTTGGTAATCATCTTCCAATTTTCTGGTTCATCTGCTTATGCTAGGTGGTTATATTCAATTGATTATTTCTGGGATTCTTTCAATAGATTCTAGTTTTCATGGAAATTCACTATAAGCTGTAGGTCCCGCTCTTCCTAACCCCGCAAAAGTTTCGACTTCCGGATAGGTGGTTCCCAACTTCGAAGTGGCAATGTACAAAATTCACAATTTTCTTTTTTTTACTTGAAGGAGGAGCCCAAAGAAGTACCTTCGAGCCAAGGAAGAAGCTCCCGACGGAAACCGGTTGCTCCCCAGTGGGTGAACCCCAACTGGGAAGAGGAAAAGGACAAGCCTAGCACCGGGGACGAGGTGATAATAAACGGAGTTTGCGTGATGCAGACGGGGGATGACTACGGGAGAAGGAATGCGGAGGAGACGGTCAGGATCGAGCCTCAGCCAGTGATGGACCGGTTTGAGGACGACCAGAGTGACGCTTCTTCCATCAGCGAGGACAATGAACACCTGGATAAGGCCGAGGATAAGTGTGATGACGAGTTGGACGAGAACAACGATGAGGAGGAAGCGAAAAACGAGGATAGTGAGAATAAATTACCCAAACACGAGAACGAGGACGAGAGGTGGGAGTACTAAATGGGACTGTCTAGTTACTTCCTGTATTATTAACGGTTGTTGATAGCTAGTGTTAATTTATACGAGCCCGTGGACTTCTTGGGGGAGCTTGGCGGTTAGTTTTGTTGTAAGATAAAAGTAAAGTGCAATCACGAAAAATCGAAACCTTATTATATTTATTGAATCATTGTGATTATCGAAATAGGGCTTAGCGGAAGCACAGTGTATAGTGTGTCCAGTTTTCGCGGTGCTGTGCCACTTTTTTGTGAAACTGAAGATGGCCTTATTAGGTTTTGCATAACTGTTTTCGTTTTCGAGATACAGGGCGATTTTGAAAATTTATAATTTTTGGACCCCCTCTATATCTACGAAGTTTCATAGCAGAAATGTCAAATTGAAATCTCAACCCATACAGAATTTCACGCAGTATCCAGTGGCGTACTCATTTTTTTTCGGGGTATGGTTTTGCAGACTCAAACTAAGGATTTTTGGAACACATGGCACAGGACCGCGAAAACCGCAAGGTTCTACCTCCAAAGATAACTGAGATATCACGCAAAAGTATGGAGAACTGGACACACTGTACTGTGTTTCTATGGCATTCGGTAGGTATACCTCGAATAATTTTGTTGAAAATTTGCGGGATTTTCAGTTGGATTTGTTATGGTCCAATTGACTTTCGAGCTGCGGTGAATTTCTTGCCAATTTTTAACTGTTTTCGCTTATTGGCATCATTTGTTCTCTTTTCATTTTAATTTGTATTTATGTAATTATAATAAGACTGTTACCGTTATTGAATATATGTATAATGTTTAGCTCGATTTCGGGCTGGAAAGCAAAGAAAAATGTTTTGAACATTTTGTGATATACACTTTAATTTTTTATTTTTATTATTAAAATGCAGTGCTTTCAAATTTGTTTAAATTATTGAATGGCCAAAAAATGCAATATCCTGAATACCTACTAGACCTGGATGAACATTTGTATTGTATTTATTCAATTTATCTCGATTGTTTTATAAGGATTTTGATTGCCCTCAGTATCGAGTAGGTATAAAAAGAAATTGCACTTATTTATTCACATTACATTTCATGATTCAAACAATTCCAAACATTCTTCCAAAGTATTGTACATAATAAAGCACATCTCAGAGTCTTCTCAAATAAGGAACAATAATTATTATTCTGTCGGCATTTTGTTTGTCTAGTCTTCCTACAATGGCATCAGGACTAAAACTATTTGTCAAATACGGCCAGTACTGATTTTTTTTAATTTACTGCAAAAAACAACTGAAACGATAGTTCAATGCCTTACTTTCAACAAATGAAAGTTGCTAATCAAAACTTCTTACCACTACTAAAGAAACCTCTTAGATTTTTAATGTTCGATACTTGATTTACAATTACTTATAGTACCAAAATCTGATTTTAGATCTCAACATTACTGGAAAATCTTCAAATAGCTTTAATTTCCAAATATAATGATTAGAAATAAAGTTATGAAAATGCATATCGTTAATATTAAGTGATTTGATACAAATACAAAAGAATCCACCCATAGAAAGAATTTATGAACATATATGCCATAGTTATCATTTGTTTTGCTCCCTTTATGCGGTAAAATATGGCACAAAAGTGTTATTAAAAATTTTCCAAGTGCAATATTTTAACGTTCGAAAGAAAAATGGTATATTTTTTGTGATATACAAAAAAAATTGTATTTCTTCCAAAATGTACTCAATGTAATAACATTGTAAAAATTATGAAAATACGTAAAATTTCGTCAAAATGATGCGATTGAGACATAAATTTAGCAAAAATGTATATTAAATGCACATTTCTAAATAAATAAAATGCATGTAGGTATATAGCATAGATTTTTTTTGCTGTAGCCAAAATATTGAGGTTCTTCTGTTATTTAAAAGAATTTTCTGTACCAAGACATAAAAATACGTAATCATGTTTTTGTTAGTACTGAGAATAATACAGTTGGTATGAGAGAATTTATTTTATTTTTTATTATATTTTATAACTAGAACATCCAGGATCAATGCTTAGAGAGATCGTAGATCTACTTCTCCTTTTTTTTACTGTACATATTTATATCATATCATCTCATGAAAATTTCTAAATTAAAATTTTCTCTGTATTTAATATTGTGTTTTATTGAAACAAAAATATGTAATACCCACATACCCCATGTTATAATCTACAACTATAACACAAGATTGGTTTTTTGTGTGGTCTGTCTGTCTGTACTCTGTGGTAATCATAAATCGATATATCTCCGGAATCCTTTGACATATCGACTTGGAATTTCGCCATCTTATTGTACTCGAAACAGTATCATTTCATTAAAATATGAAGGAAATCGGAAAACTCTAAGGTGGTTTTTCCGGGTTTTTTCGATTTTTCACCGAAAGTTTCTTGTAACCACTCTACAAATCGCAAAAGTGGCCCGATCGATTTCATTTTTTGTGAAAAAAAAAACTATCAGGGAGAGACGAAGCCTATTGAAATTGAGCAGGGTCGGAAAATTCCAAGTGGGTTTTTCGAGGAGATTTTCCGAAACACACGGTTCGCTTTAAAACGACATATCTCCTGAACCAATAGACTAAATCCAAATTTGAAAAATGCACCGTATGCCTCTTCGATGACGCAACAAATTATTATATCACCATTTTTTCGTGCATCCATCGGAAAATGGAAAAACAAATAAAAATCAAAACATCAAAATTTGAAATCCTTTCAATTCAATATTATATCGAAAACAAATGGAAATTTCGAAAATTATCAGAAGTGCAAAGTTATCCACTGGAACATTTCCTACAAATTATTACCCATATTTTTTTTGTAAACCCAATAGTACAGGAAATAAAGTGAAAAATATGAAAAAAAAAATTGAACGACCCATAGGGTACCATGAAGATATATTGAAAAACAAAGATTATCGATAGATGAAGCTCATCGACTTCCACTGAACCATGAAATATTTTTTCCTTTTGTTGATTGGAAGATGGAACAAATTTTATTCTCAGATAATTCCAAATATCTCGAAAACAACTGAAAATATCTGAGAATGTTATAGAACCAAAATTATTCTTTTTGATAGAATCTACTCTGAATTCAATAGTTCGGGAGATACGATGAAAAAACTAAAAAAATCACAAGTTCCAAGATAATCACTTGCCAATAGAAAACAAAACAAAAAACAAAAGAAAGTAGAAAAAGCACACTCGATTGTCTTGATTTTTTTCTCATAAACTACGTACCTAGCTCACTCGACTGTCTGGACGTAGTTTGTGGGAAAAATCTCCAGTTCTCTAACTTTCATAGGGTCGTATACACATCTTTGGTGCCCAATGATATAGTTTCAGTATGAAAATATGCTCATGATATGGTGCCATGGCCTCTACTCCCATCTTACATGAGCAATGATAAAATATCATCTGCTTTTATAGCGTCGTATATAAATTATCTGACCTCTATACTAATCTAATACCTAATGAAAACTACATCTATACTAATCTGATACCTTTCAACTACGTACCTCACTTGTTTTACTGTGTTCCATACATTGTCTGCTAAATATGGAGAAGAAATCTAGTGAGCTGTCACTACTGGTCTGTTCTATAGCTCAGTTGAGTGTATGTTGCCGTATCGGACGAAATGATCTTCACTTTTTTCTAGAAAATTTTCGAAATTTGTGGTTATGTAAGTTGTCAGTGTTAAGAGCTGTCATGCCATCGTGACTTGTATTGTATTTTTTCCTAAAAAAATCTTTCTTCTTCAATTCTCATTGTTCTAATATTCCTTTCGTTAATAGTATTGAAGTAGTTTATTTTGATTGATAATTTGTTACAAAACTCTGTCTCTCAATTGTTCCTACCAGAAAGTGTGAAACCGTCTCTATTAATGTATTTCCAAGTGATATTTCTTTGCGACATAAGTGGATACAGGCTCATTACAAGTAAGATAATCAGAGCCCTGATCAAAAGCTAATAATCGATACTACTGATTCTACCTCTCATTTAATTTAGGTGTTGAACATTACGAAATTGTGGACTATTGTAGTGTCCGTAGCAACCATTTTGAGAAGAAATGATTTATTTCACATCACACGTTTATTATGAACATTCAAGAAAATTTCCTCGAATTCAGAGATGATTTTGTTGACTATAATATACGAATACAAAACTAACTGCACAATCAAAGCTTTTCTATTTTTCCTCTACTTATACTTTTTATGAGAGAGTAATTGTCTTCTATTATTAATTCATCATTATAAATTAAGCTCTGTTTACTACTGAACTCAGATGGAGAAAAATCCCCGCGGTGAATTGCATATACCCACATTTTCGATAGCTCCTCGTCCAACGGGAAACTAAAAGCATGAACTTTTGAACCACCCACATAATTCCCCCGACAAAAGGGAACACAACACTTGAAAGGCATTGTTATTTCGCCGATCACAACACAATATATTTCACAAAACAGTAATTTTTCCGCCAATTATTTTGATGAATATACAACAAAAGAATTCGGGACCGTTTCAAAAACATACGTGAATCACCGATGAATTAACACGAACTGACGCGTTAGTCGACAAGCGATAAAATAATACACTGGCCTCTCTTGGTGACGTCACGAGCTGTTTACGTCAGAGTCTGCTGGCCTTGTTGTATCGGTGGTAACGGCTCAACTCGTTTACGATTTTCAAGGTTATGTAGGTTTGACAGGAAAACAATTGAAATAAGTGTTCCTCGAGTTGACCGTATGGCGGCAATACTGTATCGGTCACAGAAACCTGTAGGTGATTTTCCTTGTTTGAACAGACCAGATACTACAGCTCACTAGATTTTGTCTCTCCATATTCAGCAGACAATGGTTCCATACATATCAATGAGGTACTTTGTATGTCATCAATGTTATTTCCGTATCATTTATTTCAAAAAAAAACTCATCGCCCATGGAATGTCAAATTTCAAGCAATGACAGCTCTGTCTAATAGATGAGCATTACTTGACAGGAAATCAGATGGCTACAAGACGAAGAAATCGAAAATGCCGCTGTTATCTATTATAGCCGTAGAAAAAATATACTGTATAACTTGCACGGAATAATGCTAATTTCCTACTCGAATGATTACAGCATTCGCCTATGGCTCATGCTGCAAACTTCATTCTCGTAGGAAATCACTATCATTCCGTGCTCGTTAAACAATATACCTATTGTTTCTTCATCACAAGTTTTTTTGCCTAAAAAGAACTTTCAACACAACTTCTTTCCACACAACAAATTTCTCCTACCTGCCGAACCATTATATGCAAAATTGTAAAGAGACTATTAAAAATAGTATCCATCACTAACACGAGATAGCTGGCGATTCAAGATTCAATGATATACTATGTTTGGCACTATTTTTCGGTAATAAAAAATATAAGTTCGTTTCAAGATAACCTGGGGATTTGGAATAGCAAAATATCCCTAGGTAGAAATAATTATAGTTGAAATAAAATTACTGAATTTATAAGTTGATTTTTGGATTCCAGGACTGATACAACCTATGTTGAATATGAGAATACTTTTTGGTAACTATATGGTTATTGCTAGGGATGCCCTTTTAACTCAGTGATGATGGGTTTGGGTTCAATCAGAAGTTGAACAAAGCGCCACCCACCTCATATTATAACCCAAGCATAACTGAAAATCTAAAGTGGGAAATGAGATCTAAAATCAACTCGTAATTGGAAGTGAAACTAAAATTCAATCCGGAAAAACTACTGGTGTATGTAAAATGATACCCTGAATCTAAAAATGGAAAAATATACAGGGGGTTCCATTTGAAAATCAAAAGTTGGGGTCACTTCCGGTTAGACCGGAAGTGATGGAATAATTTTTTTTTCGTCAATAAATGAACAATATGGTATAGTTGCTACCCACCAAATTTCAAATTTCGATCTCGAATGATTCAGAAGTTACAGCACACCTCTGTATATACACTGTTGATGGCTTTTGTTGTGCTATAGTTCCGAAAAATGAGTCACCGTCTCCGATAAAGAACTGCAAGTCCTTTTATCTTCTATTCGACTTCGCGGTTACGTATATTACTAAACAACCATTAAATTCGCAATTTTTTGAAATCAAATCACAGAATTAGACTGACAGAAGTGACATCAGATATTTGATGATGATAAAGATGCCTACAACGCAGGTGTCCCTACTGTTAAAAACTTGAAATTTCACGTCAATAATTTTCAGATTTCAAAATAATGTAATATCTTCTCAATATTGATTCGTCCTATCTTCTGTCACAGAAAAAAATACTGTATTTATTATACACGGTTTTTTGTCTTCCTCCGCTACGCGTAGGGAGACAACACAACCTGGACCTAAAATCTACAACTTTTTTCCCTTGTATAATAAATAACTATTTTTCGTATCCTCATTCGTAAAATATTACTGGTTGAACATATCTATTTCGATATCCCCACTGACATCAGTTAGCGAAGTCAGCAACTGACGATTTGTTCACTGAGAAACCTGAGATAATAATTAAAGAATACATGAGATCTAAATAATTTTATAGTGAGCGTTCATATATTCCGTTACAGAGCCAACAATGAATAAGCAATAAATGGAAGCACTGCTTCGCCAATATTGGCGTGTAGTCGGACAGCGGGTAACTTTTTTGTGATTTCCAATTGAAAAATGTCAATAGCGTTCCAATAATAATAGTTCCCTGGGGGTGTGGTATTACTCAAAAAGTGATGGCGCATTCATTTTTGTTGGATACTCGTGGTGGTTTATTATAAATGTGACAATTACATTGAAAAAAATATTCCTAATCACCTTCACAACTCCACCAAGCATCCACCGATAGAAATTATTACTGTGGAGAAGAAACGAACAGTGGTGCCGTTAAATACACCCCATATAAATACATAATTTGTTCCTCACTCTAGTTCATCGCAGTAGCTCAGATAATTATAATATGTAAAGAATACATAACGTTTCCAGTGAAAGTGTCTACAGAAAAATGAAAGTTTGCCGATTTTCTTACGGTGGTCCAATCATGTCGAAGTCATAGAGTGGAGTATCACCAACCTTATAGTGAAAAGCGAGGTGAAAAGTTAGTAACTTCGAGAAGATATGTAAATAGGCATCAAAATTAATGTGATCGGTATCATCGACAAAACTGATGTGTCGCGATCTTCATGCATAATTTCAAAGTATTAAGTCATATTCCTTTATGTTGGTGAAAAAAATACGGATCTTCAACATTTCTACCTACATTTTATTAACATTTTGTGTACAATTTCAGTATTTTACAATGTAACATACACATTTCCCATCTATAGTTATTGAAAATTTGTAATTCAAGTACTA